TCTGTCGCATACCAAAACCACCACTGTCCTTGACCTTAGTTTGACCTTGACCGTCGACTTACATTTCCTCTTTGGCCTCCTAGGCCTAGGGTAACCAGATTCCATATACTTGCACATCTGAGGCAGACCAGTTGTCTAACAAACCTTTGTCTTTGTGATTTATTTAAGTTTACCTGCCTTCTACGTCCTTACAGAGATATTCCATTCATACTAGATCACGGGGGATACATGTAGTTGGCGACAACTGCTCGTTTCCAGTTATGAACGGATTAATGTATATTTAACAACGTATAAGATTCTCTGATTAGGTGCAGCTTATTTTTAGAACGTATATATATCCAGAAAATAAGTTTACAGGCATAGTAGCCACTATAGATATAATAAGGTAAATCATACACGAGAATTGTATTTACCGCCATATGAGATTCATTAATGAATTAGGTTTGCCTAATCAATAACGGCCCAAATAATGTAGAAATTCTAGACAAATGCACATATGGAAATATACTCATGAATAAATGATATAATACCAAAAAAATAAACAAGAACAAATACAGAAGCATTTGGCGTCACCCCCTGTGATGGTGTCACCCGGTGCGTTCCGCACCCCCGCACCCTCCTTGTGACGCCACTGTAAGTAAGTAAAATCTATATTTAACAATGGTAATTTAAACATGTTAAGGAAACAATGAATTAGTGCAGACCTATCTAGCTTCCACGTGGCCGTCACAAAATGCTAGGTATATGCTCATCATAATCAAGGCCACTTCCCTGTTTTCTATCCTTTTACCCCTTACATTCCTGTATTTCATATTTCTTATTCATGTACTATCAGGATTAAATAGTATATATGCTGTGAGCTATTCTAGCTAAGGTGTATATTATAACAATATATACTGTCTTGGCTAAAAAACTTAGCTGTAATGATTTCTTTTATACCAACTCTCAGCTTATAGAAGACAATGGGTTTTTCGGAGACATTTTTTGAGGTAAACAACTGCCTATAAGTATAATACGAAAAAAATATTGTATACATGTTTTTAGCTCATCTGACATAGTCAGATGCAGCTTGTAGAATCGCATGAGCGTGCGTGCGTCCGTCCGTTCGTCCGTGCGTGCGTGCGTTCGTCCGTGCGTGCGTGCGTCCGTTCGTCCGTGCGTGCGTGCGTTCGTCCGTGCGTGCGTCC